TTTTATTTCAACAGCCAACAGCCAAGGCGCCAAGATACAATTTTCCTCAATACACTTGTATACACTAACAGCACATGCTGGCTCGGATAGCAAATAAAAAACATATCAGAAATGAAAATAATTCCTAAGAGATAAAAGCGGTCCACTCACAAGCTTATCCTCCAGTGTGGACAGTGTTACATTCACCAATATATGTACTTACTTCTCAATGGATTTCAATGGGTGTATGTGTGCGTCTTTGTAAGCATATTGGTGTGAAAAAAGATTTATTTGGCACGCTCTTCATTCTCCTCCTAACGTGTGATAAAGAAAGCAAAAGGGAAGAGTTCCTGCGCCGGCAGCTCATTCAAATGGTTTGGCGCATGTAAACAAGTGCTGCACTTATCCATGTAGCCGGGCGATAAGAGTGGAAAAAAGACCTCCGGAGTGATGGATCGCAGAGGGGGCTTCTCGTGCTCCTCTCTTCCCTGTGCCGCCCTGCCACCTTTGGATAATAAACAGCCACGGAGCAGGGGGCCAGATAAGAACCATCACTCACATTGACCGGCCTGATAAGACACAGACGCTGCCTGTCACCCACAATGACATTTGTTTTTCATTCCACTCCAGGCCAAGGGAGAAGTCAACCTGTTTGGTCTCATCAGTGGATTCTCCTCAGATCTCCCGCTGAGTGTGTGCCACCCTCTGACACTGATAGCGCTCAGGTGATGGAGCGTGTCATGCGGCACACAAGAAGAATGGACTGGACTTAGACTAGACACTTTTTACTAGTTCATTCACAAAGCCATGTAATAGGAAGAGCAAAGGGAACTGTTGGAACGCTGGTGGGGATTTTTGAAAGCCATTCTGTTTGAAATTATGTGATATTATCCTGTCCAGTGTTTTTTAAACCAGTGTGTGAGGTTTAACTAAAAGGACATTCATTAACACTTGTGTTTTCTGATTCCCTGATCTGTGTGGGCAAATTCAACAGCTGCGTAACGCCCTCAAGATACAAGATACAAGCATACTGTACATCAGTGAGCCTTGAAATGTTGTTTGTTCATTTGGAAATGATCCAATTGGAGGTTCTTTATAAATCCAGACTTTTAAACAAAGCTCTTAGGATTGTCAATGACTCTTCTGGCCACCCTGGAAAAGCCATGTTCCAGCTTCTTCCCTCTGGCAGATGATATCGCTCTCTGAGATGCAGGACATCTTGTTACGCTAACAGCTTTTATCCACAAGCTGTTATCAGTGTGAACAGAACACTTTAATGATTTGCAATTGTTTTTAAACTGTTTTAGTCGATCAATTTCACAGTGACATTTATTTACTGTTTTCTTTGTTTATTTTTGTCTTTTAATGTTGTTTTATGTCTGTATTTGTCTGTGCACACTGGAGACTTTTTGCTAATGTATTCCAATGTGTTTTTTTTTTTACTGCAAATGGCAAATAAAACTGAATCTGAATCAATATCACCTGATTGGTTAAAATAATGTGTACAAAAAATAATGAAAGAAGATTAGAAAGACATTTTTTGCACTTGTTTACACACACTTTGATTACAATTACTTTGCATTGTCAATAAAGGCCGCAGAGTTTCATTTGTAACAATTTCAGCTGGTGATGTGCCCCGTGCTTGTTTTGAATGAAAAAGGTGTGTCATAGCTCAACAAGTTTGGGGAGCACTGATTGAGTTAATGTCGGTCATGTTTACTGTGCATTGCGGGGGAAAAAGTTATTTGAGGGAACGTCCATCAAAAAGAGTCATGACGTCATCTACCAAACGTATCATAGTTGTGAATAGTAAGGAAGAATTCAAAATAAATACTAAATAATTTGAAAGAAATATACGTTTGAAATGTAGTAAATGGTATGGAGCTATAGGGAATTATCAGACTAGGAAATATTCTATGATCACAATCCCGCCAATCACTTGAATCATTCCATTCATACACAACAGTGCCTGTGCTAATATCATCAGCTTTCACTGGCTCCATTTAAACGGTTTCTCACAGCTCATGCAGCAACCTGCCTCCTCCCCATCAACAGTGGTAAAATCGCTCTTCTTCATTGATTGACTGCGGAACCTTCCGCAGTCAACCATTGGTTTTGTATTTCTTTATTCCGTCATTTTTTTTGACACGTTTCACAGCTTTCACATTTTCAACAATTTCCACAAGTTATACATCAAAACGTTCCACATGTTTGGGAGATTATTGCTATTACTTTTGGGACTTCAGCGATTTCCGGTTTTTCCGCAATTGGACAAAAATCTGCATTGAGAATTCTGCAATGCATTTTAATAGGCCCATGCATTTTAATAGGACTTCAGCTCTTTCAGACATTTCTACAGTTTCAATGATTCAACAGTTTCAAGGATTCAACAGTTTCAAGGATTTCAGCAGTTTCAAGGACTTCAACAGTTTCAAGGACTTCAGCAGTTTCAAGGACTTCAGCAGTTTCAAGGACTTCAACAGTTTCAAGGACTTCAGCAGTTTCAAGGACTTCAGCAGTTTCAAGGACTTCAGTGTAATCATGCAACCTAATAGGGATTTTTCCATGTAAACCAGTATAATGCAACTTAATAGGGATTTTTCCATGTAAACCAGTATAATGCAACTTAATAGGGTTTTTTCATGTAAACCAGTATAATGCAACTTAATAGGGTTTTTTTTCATGTAAACCAGTATAATGCAACTTAATGGGGATTTTTCCATGTAAACCAGTATAATGCAACTTAATAGGGGTTTTTACATGTAAACCAGTATAATGCAACTTAATAGGGTTTTTTCCATGTAAACCAGTATAATGCAACTTAATAGGGTTTTTTCCATGTAAACCAGTACAATGCAACTTAATAGGGATTTTTCCATGTAAACCAGTATAATGCAACTTAATAGGGATTTTTCCATGTAAACCAGTATAATGCAACTTAATAGGGATTTTTCATGTAAACCAGTATTATGCAACTTAATAGGGATTTTCCATGTAAACCAGTATTATGCAACTTAATAGGGATTTTTCCATGTAAACCAGTATAATGCAACTTAATAGGGTTTTTTTCATGTAAACCAGTATAATGCAACTTAATAGGGGATTTTTTTTCATGTAAACCAGTATTATGCAACTTAATAGGGATTTTTCCATGTAAACCAGTATAATGCAACTTAATAGGGTTTTTTTCATGTAAACCAGTATAATGCAACTTAATAGGGTTTTTACATGTAAACCAGTATAATGGAACTTAATAGGGTTTTTACATGTAAACCAGTATAATGGAACTTAATAGGGTTTTTTACATGTAAACCAGTAATGCAACTTAATAGGGATTTTTACATTAAACCACTATAATGGGGGTTTTTACATGTAAACCAGTATAAAGCAACTTAATAGGGATTTGTACATGTAAACCAGTATAATGCAACCTAATAGGGATTTTTCCATGTAAACCAGTATAATGCAACTTAATAGGGATTTTTCCATGTAAACCAGTATAATGCAACTTAATAGGGATTTTTCCATGTAAACCAGTATAATGCAACTTAATAGGGTTTTTTCCATGTAAACCAGTATAATGCAACTTAATAGGGTTTTTTTCATGTAAACCAGTATAATGCAACTTAATGGGGATTTTTCCATGTAAACCAGTATAATGCAACTTAATAGGGGTTTTTTTACATGTAAACCAGTATAATGCAACTTAATAGGGTTTTTTCCATGTAAACCAGTATAATGCAACTTAATAGGGTTTTTTCCATGTAAACCAGTATAATGCAACTTAATAGGGATTTTTCCATGTAAACCAGTATAATGCAACTTAATAGGGATTTTTCCATGTAAACCAGTATAATGCAACTTAATGGGGATTTTTCCATGTAAACCAGTATAATGCAAACTTAATGGGGATTTTTCATGTAAACCAGTATAATGCAACTTAATAGGGATTTTTCCATGTAAACCAGTATAATGCAACTTAATAGGGTTTTTTTCATGTAAACCAGTATAATGCAACTTAATAGGGTTTTTTTCATGTAAACCAGTATAATGCAACTTAATGGGGATTTTTCCATGTAAACCAGTATAATGCAACTTAATAGGGTTTTTTTTTACATGTAAACCAGTATAATGGAACTTAATAGGGTTTTTTCCATGTAAACCAGTATAATGCAACTTAATGGGGATTTTTCCATGTAAACCAGTATAATGCAACTTAATAGGGTTTTTTTTACATGTAAACCAGTATAATGCAACTTAATAGGGGTTTTTCCATGTAAACCAGTATAATGCAACTTAATAGGGATTTTTACATGTAAACCAGTATAATGCAACTTAATAGGGATTTTTTACATGTAAACCAGTATAATGGAACTTAATAGGGATTTTTCCATGTAAACCAGTATAATGCAACTTAATAGGTATTTTTCCATGTAAACCAGTATAATGCAACTTAATAGGGATTTTTCCATGTAAACCAGTATAATGCAACTTAATAGGGATTTTTTCATGTAAACCAGTATAATGCAACCTAATAGGTTGCATTATACCACCAGACCAAGACCCAAACGAAGACTCAGACCACCACCAGATAATGACCATAGACCAGGTTTCCTTAGTTACAGGAACCAAATTGTTTCAGCGGTGAGGGGATTTTTCAGTTTCAAGGACACTTTCAATACATTCAGTAGTTTTCAAGGATTTCAACTGTTTAAGAATTTAACCAGTTTCAAGGATATCAGGAGGTTCAAGGATTTCAGGAGTTTCCACACTTTCAACAGTTTCCAGGTTTAAAAAAGTTTCAAGGATTTCAGGAGTTTCAATGTTTCAACAGTTTCAAGGATTTCAGGAGTTTAAAGGTTTCAACAATTTCAAGGACTTCAGGAGTTTCAAATATCTATCAAGTATTTTAACAGTTTCAAGGCTTTTAAAGGATTTCAAGGATTTTTTTTTTAGCAGATTTCCACATTAGATCTGTTCCGCAGTCAATCGCAATGGCTTCAGCCATTGCAAGTTTCTAGTTTCTAGTGGGGGTGTGGGGTGGGGGTGGTGGGGGTGGGGTGGGGGTTTGTTGGTTGGGGGGGTGGGTGGTGGGGGGTGGGTGGTGGGGTTTGGGGGGGGGGGTGGTGGGGTGGGGTGTGGGGTGGGGGGGGGGGGGGGGTGGGTGGTGGGGGGGGGTGGGGGTGGGGGGTTTGGGTGGTGTGTGGGGGTTGGGGGGGGTGGGGGGTGGGGGGGGGTTGTGGGTGTGTGGGGGTGGGGTGGGGGGGGGTGGGGGGGGTGGTGGGGGGTGGGTTGGGTGGGGTGGGGGGGTGGTGGGGGGGGGGGGGTGGGTGGTGGGGGGGTGGGGGTGTGGGTGGTGGGGGGTGTGGGGGGGTGGGGGGGGGTGTGGGTGGTGGTGGGGGGTGGGGTGGGGTGTGGGGGGGGTGTTGGGGGGTGGGGGGGGGGTGGTGTGGTTGGGGGTGTGGGGGGGGTGGGGGGGGTGTGGGGTGTGGGGGGTGGTGGGGTGGGGGTGGGGGGGGGGGGTGTGGGGGGGTGTGGGGGTGGGTTGTGGGGGTGGGTGGGGTGGGTGGGGGTGGGGTGGGGGGTGTGGGTGGGGGTGGGGGTTGGGGGTGTGGGGGGTGGGGTGGGGGGTGGTGGGGTGTGGGGGTGGTGGGGGGTGGTTGGGGTTGGGGTGGGGTGTTTGGGTGATAGGGTGGGTTGGAGTTGGGGGTGGGTGGGGGTGGTGGGTTGTGGTTTGGGTATTTTGGGGGTGGGTGGGTTGGGGGGGGGTTTGTGGTTGGGGGTGGTTGGTGGGGTGGGGGTGGGGGGTTGTGGGGTTGGGGTTTGGTTGTAGGTGGTGTGGGGGGGGGTGGTTGGGTGGGGTTTTGTGTGTGGTGTGGTGGGTTGGTGGGGATGGTGTGGGTGGGTGGTTTGTGGGTTGGGGGTGGGGTTGGGTGTGGGGGGTTGTGGTGGGGGGTGGGTGTTGGTGGGTGGTTGTGTGGGGGGTTTGGGGGGTGTGGGTTGGTGTGGTTGTGTTTTTTGTTGTGTGGGTTGGTGGGTGGGGTTGGATGTGGGGGGGGTTAGGGGTTTAGGGTTTGTTTTTGGGGGGGTGTTTTGGGTGGTATTTGTGTTTGTGTGGTTGTTTTGTGGTTTGTGTTGGGTTGGGTTGGTGGTGGGTTTTGGTTGATTTGGTTTGGGGTTGGGTTGTATTGGTGGGATTGAGTGGTGTATGGGGTTTGATTGGGTGGTGTATGGTGGGTTATTGTGGTGTATGTTATATTTATGTATGTTTATATGGTTATATGTGGATTTATGTAGGTGGGGGGGGTGGAGGGGGTTATGTTTGGGGGTTATTGGATTTGGTGGGTAAGAAAAGAAAAGTTTGGAGAAATTTAAGGATGGAATGGGGGAGGAGAATAGGATTTGGGGGGGGGGGGGGTGGGTGGGATGGTTATGTGTTTTTATAGGGGGGGAGGTGTTAGGGGGTGATTGGGATTTATTTGGGGGGGTATGTTTGATAGGGGGGGTGTGGGTTGTAAAGGGGAGGGGGAAGGTAAATTGGAGAGAGGTAATAAGAGTTTTATTATGAAATAGGTGGGGGATGTATGAGGGGTTGGGTTAGGAATTGGTGGAGAATTTGGGTTTATTTTTGGGGTGGGTAAGGTGTGGGTAATGGGGGATGGTATAAGGGGTTTTTGGTTGATGTATATTGGATGTATGATGTTGGGTGTGAGTTTGGGGGGTTGGGTATAAGGAATATAGGGGTATGCAGAAAGGAAGAATGTATTAGAATGATGTTGATTGAGTTACATTAGCTGGTGACTGCATAAATAGACCCCCTGCATACTGGATATGATATGATAAGATATTTCTTGACGTATGCATGAAGGACTTAAATAGAATATGACAGTGGTGGAAGCTGAAATCATGAGCAAATGAAACTAGAAACTTGCAATGGCTGAAGCCATTGCGATTGACTGCGGAACAGATCTAATGTAGGATTTCAAGGATTTTTTTTTAGCAGATTTCCACATTAGATCTGTTCCGCAGTCAATCGCAATGGCTTCAGCCATTGCAAGTTTCTAGTTTCATTTGCTCATGATTTCAGCTTCCACCACTGTCATATTCTATTTAAGTCCTTCATGCATACGTCAAGAAATATCTTATCATATCATATCCAGTATGCAGGGGGTCTATTTATGCAGTCACCAGCTAATGTAACTCAATCAACATCATTCTAATACATTCTTCCTTTCTGCAACTTTCCAGATTGGAATGAGTCCATACACTTTCGAAATCCATTCCTGCTGTATGCCATTGTGTCTGCTTCTTTACACCAGGTTTACAGACACATGGTCACATCAAAGGCCTCACTACACATTTTTGTTTCACTTTGAGCAAAATGGCTTCAAATCACAGAGTCTGAAAAAAGTGGGCATGTTGTTATAGCGGTGGTCAGAGCAGCCTTGGGTAAGCAAAAGCCAAGGGTAATAAATACTCAAACAGTGATTTCTGTACAAACAATTGTTTGAACATGATCAAAAGTTATCAGCAAAAAGTAGATTTTATATGTTACCTGCACTAACTCCATTTGAAGTGAGAAGCAACAATGGCACTGAAGGTTTTGGGAGAATTTAGGGGAGGGGAGGTCATACATTTGACTTGTTCCCACTTTATGTTACAAATGAATCCAAATAAAGTATGTATGAATATGTGTTCATGTGTTTATGTATGTTTGTGTTATGTATACTATGTAAATACTGTATAATACTTGATTTCTGTATAAAAGCTTGAAATAATTGTATTAAATTAAAATTTCTTTGATACATTTTAAATACATGTTTTCAATTTATTTAGATTTTTATTCATTATAGTTTTGCATAACATAAAGAGCTGTGTTTGTTTGTAGTTTCAAAGTTCAACAAGCCACACACAAATCACATCAAGTATTCTTTTTATATCGAATCAAAAATATAATTAAATATACTAAAATTTCCCTATACTAGTATTGAAAATCACTACTTACTACAATAATATTGCAATATTAGAAATTACAAAACATTTCAATATTTGCATGTTATGATTATAATATTCATATTCATTCATATTCATATGTGTGATGTGAAACAAGATAATAAAAACAAATCTCTGTATTGAATTATAAATTAAACATATCAACACATCAGAAAATGCAAATGTTGCCTCTGAGACTCATATTGTAAACGGAAAAAGTTAACTATTCAGCCATTTTGTTTTTTTACGTATTGAATTCCCTAAAACTCCAGTGCCTACCTGTGGGAATATGCAGTCAGTGTAAATTTGGCTGCCCTCCCTTTGCCTCTGCTAAGGTCACCATGTCACAGAAATGAGAGGGTATAAAATAGTCATTTTATAGCTATCACAATTGCTATACATTAGAGCTATGTGCGTTATATTAGTGCTAATGAAGGGCGTAAATTCTTCCTTTACGACTGGACCTTTACAGGGGGTTGTAAAACACACGCTTTCTGCGTTAGCCATGTTTATCACCGCGGCTCTTAAGTTCATACTGGGCACACACGGTTTGTATTAGTCAGGGCCCCGGTCCTCTGAGGGGCCCCTGTCTGCAGTAATGGACCCGAGTGCTGGGACATCCCATCCGTCGGTCATGGATGACATTTAACAGACAAGCTCCAACTTCCTGTGATCAAAACAGCAGTGACCACAAAGGTAATACATGCTCTCACAAATCACTCATCCTCCATCTGACTTCAAGAGATATGCTGGTCTCCAACATCAGGCCCTGGTTACCATTAAACTTACATCATTTAGAGTAAATTGTGTGACTACAACATGGTACAGTATTACCTTGGCACAAATGAACATGCATTTTAAAGAAAGTAATACTGCCTCCAATTTTGTCTTTACTTGACCTTAATTTAATCCTAAATTTCTTCATCCTGTTCTTTGGTGACTATATTACTCTTGTCTCCTGGTTAGAACTGTCTCAGTCTAAACCCTCATCCTGGCTTTACAGTTAACATGAAGACACGTGTAGGTGTTTTGCTTTCGCCAATTTCCAGTTTGTACAAAATCTGTAGTTTGGGGTGGGCATTTCAAATATACCTGTGGCTATAAATGTGGGAGTGTGTCATTATGTTCATTGTGTACATATCGTGTCACTATATCTTTAGAAATGTAGGTGCGTTTTTGGTTATGCTTGTAACTATTATAACAATGGAGTGGCTTTTTGATCCTGGTCTAGATTCCTCTTATGGCACAAAGATGGTAACTACTACTGTCACCACATCTGCCTGGGGCAGACGGCCCCTCTGACCACACCAATCATCCAAACACACAGCTGTGGCAATGTGGGTTAAGTATATTTAAGGACAGTTTGGCACTTTCCACCTCAACCGTTCCGATAGTCTCCCATGACAGTACTGACCAGGCCTTATTTTGCTTATCTTATGATGTCTGACGAGATCAGGCTTTCACATGCAGGTATGTCCACTCTGTCTTCCCGCAGCTTCTTGTCTTCAGAAGACAAAAAGTGCGAGTTGTGATGGATATATCCACTGTTACTTGGGGGAAAAAAAACATTTACAGACAAAAAAAGGAATATAAGTGCAAATGACTGACAGATTAGGCAATTAAACAAGCATGTGATTATGTCATCTTTCACAAAAATTCTTCTGCTACATTTGAAATTCATTCAAATCGAGTGAGAAGCAGAAAGGATTTAAATACTGCATGGGGCCTTCTGCATATACTTTCGTAGTGTGCCTTATCTCTCAACGTTCAGCACTGTTAATATGATGATGAACAATATTTCATGAAGGACGCCTGACGTGTCTATCCTGGAGTGTCGCCCTGGTGTCCCCGTTCCTCCTTTGTACCTCTTTTCTTTCTGAGCGGTGAGGGGGCAGGTGAGAGAAGGACCCAAGATAATCACTGCTGCTGCACACTGCTTCCAACAGCCCAGCTCCCCCAAAACATTTTCATATCAGCAATCAAGCAATTTTTCTACATGCTAATCCATCAAAGCGAGCGGGTGCTAATCTGTGCAGCGCGCACGCCGCTTCCTCTGTGCAGGTAATGCCCTCGCTCCCTGGCAAACATTTGTCCCACAGTGTGCCACACAAAGCCCTGCCCTGTCAGCACTGATTGATCAGAGGCCGGCTGTAAGAAGAGGAAAGCGGCATGCCCTATCAATGATGCCGTACATCTGCACCTGAAAAGATCCTTGGTCTCCCTCCACAACACAGCAGATAATGAGAACTGGGCTGTTAACAGCTCCAGCCGCTCTGCTTTTTGTCATGTCGATATAGGCCAAGTGCTTACCTTTTACACAGAGAGCAGGCACAGGCCTCGGGATAGAAGATTATCATAATGTCTACGAACGCTGACAGGGGTAAATTTCACTGACTCTATTTCAGATTAGTGTGGATTCTTTAAAAGAGGTGCGTTTGCAGAACAATGTGATTGCATGTTTGATTTTAATTTTCTGACAATCTCTCACAGCAGGCAAAGATCTGTTTTTTTTTTTTTCTGTTAACGGCAGCGAGATTGAGTCAGGCTAAGTGTGCTGTAAAAGGATGTGAGAATGCGGTGCCTCCCTGAGCTTTAGAGATCCTTCATGGGGAGACTGAGAGATAAAATACGGAGGCCTCATTAGTAGCACATTTATCATCTCCTGTCTGTGATTTAAAAGAATGACTGGGTCAAATCTCTTTAAATACCTCAGGGGAAATCAACATTTGTCATTGCAAAGCAAACTGGCTTCTCCCCTCTATCGTGGCATTAATTTATTCTTGTAAAGCAACCCTGCTCGCCGCTGCACTGATTTTAATTTCATCCTTGCAAAAACCTTGGCTAACTGTCTATCTCAATTCATTGCTTCAGCACACAATTGTCTTTTTCAATTCAGGAAAGTAATACTCACCATCAGCAAGGCCAGGCCCTCTCCACCCTAAGCAGGTGATGCAAATGGCCTTTAATAGAAAACTAAAGCGAGGGAGACACTGCAAATAATTCCTCTGATATGTACAATTAAAAACAAAAGCCAGCGGTGCAGAACAGGGAGACTGTACACGCGCAATACAAGAAAAAG